TACTCTCACTTACTTAATAATAGAGTATTTCCATTTAAAATATTTACACGCCGGGCTAAGGACCGTGCATTTTTTGCTTAGTCAACAATATTGGATAATCGCAGCCAAACGTAAAATTCGCTCTGTTTTGTCAACATGCGTACGATGCTTTAAATTAAATCCTCAACCCACTCAACCTAAGATGGGTTCGCTTCCATTTCCCCGCGTATGTCAGTTAAGGGCGTTTTTACACAGCGGTGTCGATATAGGTGGTCCAATCCCCATTTTAATGCATAGAACCCGTGGTGTAACGCGAACTTTAAAGGCCTATATTTGTCTTTTCGTGTGTATGAGCACCAAGGCTATCCATATCGAAATCGTCAGTGATTTGACAGCTGATGCTTTCATAGCAGCATTGCGGCGATTTGTAGCTCGTAGAAATTACGTTACAGACATGTATTCTGATAACGGTCCAAATTTTGTATCCGCGAATCGACAGTTACTCCAGATTGATTCTACACGTCCCATTAAATGGCATTTTATTCCAAGCATTAGTCCAAATTTTGGAGGACTTTGGGAATCGGGTATCAAGTCCGTTAAAAAGCATTTATTTAGAACTATCGGATCGCAAATTTTAACTTACGAAGAGTTATGTACAGTGACTTGTCAAATTGAAGCTATTTTGAACTCGCGCCCTTTGACTGAAAATTCTTCAGATCCAAATGATATTTCTGCGTTGACCCCTGGTCACTTTTTATCTTTGGAACCATTGAGCGCTGTTCCAGACATTGATTTGGCTGATGTCAAGCTTAATAGATTAACGCGGTGGCAGCTACTTCAGCGAATCCACCAGGATTTTTGGAGACGTTGGCAACAGGAGTATCTACATACTCTCCAACAAAGGAGCAAGTGGCTTGAAAACCCTTCCACTCCTGAAATTGGTCGCCTTGTAATTATTAGGAATGATTTACTGCCTCCAATTCAGTGGCAACTCGGGAGAATTATTGAAGTTTTTCCTGGTAAGGATGGTATAAGTCGAGTTGCAACTGTTAAGACTAAGGACTCAGTGTTTAAACGACCAATGTCGAAACTTTGTCCTCTGCCTCTTGTCACCTCGGAAAATGCATAGCATTTTCGGCTGGCAATATGTTCAGTTCCCCTGAACTTCTTAATTTTAATTTTAATTTTTATTTTTTAGATTTAGTTAAACAAATGCTTGAGTCTCATCAGTGTTTAAATTATAGGGGTTTTTTGGTTATAAAATAAGTAAAAATTTGATTTGTCACACTTTGGCGCTATATATGAATGTTCTATTGTATCACTATTTTTTAAAGTTAACTGTTAAGGATTCATTTATTCTATGTAGTGATGCGGTTTTACCAGAGGGTGAAGATTTTATGCGCCTGTGCGAGTCAATTGCCCAGGAACTGTACTGGTTTTAAAACACTGATAACTCTCTCTCTCTCTGATATCGACAGCACATATTTTGGTCCTTCGAGCCGGATCAAAATATGTGCTGTAACGACAGCTCAGTAATGTTGGTTGAGTTTAGTGGACTGTAATTTAATAATCTTCTTTTAATTTGAAGATACAAAGATCGCGGAATCACTTTTTCCAGTGTTAAATAATATATGAATTTTTTATTGAGAAAAATCCCGTTATTCGGATTGGTAATTGACCTCAACAATATAAAGCAGTGATACAGCCTAATAAAAGAGGGACTTACCGAAGTGTCTATTTTCCTCCTCTAGGTGCACCTAGCCAAATGAGCTTTTGCGGCGAAAGACTTAGGGAATTTTCCAGCACTTAATTATGGGCACTTTTCCGATTTGCGGAGTTGATAGACCGAAGTATAATAATTATTCACTTTCAATTCCGGTTGCGAATTTTGTATTATTTAAATTTTGGTAATTTACCGACTGATCGCGTGCATATCGCGTGCATGGTCGATATCAGAGAGAGAGAGTTATCAGTGTTTTAAAACCAGTACAGTTCCTGGGCAATTGACTCGCACAGGCGCATAAAATCTTCACCCTCTGGTAAAACCGCATCACTACATAGAATAAATGAATCCTTAACAGTTAACTTTAAAAAATAGTGATACAATAGAACATTCATATATAGCGCCAAAGTGTGACAAATCAAATTTTTACTTATTTTATAACCAAAAAACCCCTATAATTTAAACACTGATGAGACTCAAGCATTTGTTTAACTAAATCTAAAAAATAAAAATTAAAATTAAAATTAAGAAGTTCAGGGGAACTGAACACATATCTCTGGAGAACAGCATCGCTGTGGAATAAACTCCCTGCGACGGTTTTCCCTGCAGGTTACAACCTGAACCGTTTCAAGACCAACATACACCGACATTTCCGCGCACTTGCCGCTTGTCGAGCGTGATAGGACATTTCCTTGCGAGTGCACATATCCGTAAAAAAAAAAAAAAAAAAAACCCGCACACTATGCGGTAAAGTGCACTTTACCGCACACTTTGTAGTCCACTTTACCGCATACTATGCTGTAAAGTTAACTTTACCGCACACTATGCTGTAAAGTTAACTTTACCGCATAGTGTGCGGTAAAGTGATACTTTCCATTCTCAAATACGTGCGGTAAAGTGCACTTTACCGCACGCTCGTAGGTAAACAAATAAAAACGATATTTGCAATTTTTCGGCTCAATAAAATTTCAATAATCTAATATTCATTCACAAAATTGCTGATTACTCGGTTATTATTATAACAAATATGATGTAATATTACATATTCTGAATCAGAATTAAATAATCTTCAAGATAAAATAAGATTCAATTCTATATCTTAAATACTTTTGAAGATATTGAGGCTCAAAGTTAAAACTTTGTCTCAAATTTTGCAAAAGCTTTGAAGCCGAGATTATCTTGAAAACGAAACCCTTGGGCTCGAAGTCTTGAATAACCTTTTTTTAAGCTCTTATTGAGAGGTACAATTGCCAGAGTCCCAGCTCGAACCCGAAAAATGAAAATAGAGATAAAAAGTCAAAAAAGTTGACAGAAACTTTTTCTGATAATTTTTCTAGGAATCTGATAATTTTGTTCTCAAATCCTGATAATTTTAAATTTGAAATCTGACAACACTGTAACTGGTACAATTTTCTAAGGATAAGTAAAGTCCGTCGATTTTAATCTGTGAGCAGGTGGCACCCTACATTAAAACGCCAATGTTCACCTGACGTCACACCTGTTATTGCCATACACATACTTCACCCCATCACTCCTCATATATTTTTTCTGTATTTATTTTCCCATTTCAATCTTTTTTGTTAAGTTTTTCTCTTTCACACAATAAATCACTGTATGGAGTTTCTGGGGTCCCAATTGATGGTCTAAAGTTGAAATCTCCACAAAAAAAATAATTTTTTTTTACCATTTTGGAAGGAAGACCCACCTTGAACATGAATTTTTGAAAGTTTTCAATACACATAACTTTTTTTCTATCATAGATAGAAAGCTGAAAATCTCAGCGATTCTTATCCTTGGACTTATAGTTCCAGAAATAAAATCGCGTTTAGCGCAATTTGAAGTGAATTTTTCGATTTTTCAATTTTCCTGACCTTATATTTTTCATTACCATTACTAATAGGGTAATAAATACCAATTTTTATTGAATTTATTTGATCCAAAACAGGTTCTTTTATTTTGTCTTTCTTCAAACCATATAGAGAAATAGGTATAGGTAATATTCTGTTTATCAAGGTAAATATGTTTTTAATTCTTCCTCTTCCTGGAAACTGATAAACAAACAAAGATAATAAAATTTGAACAAAGTACAGGGTGATCTATTATAAATGTCACCCCCTTGTAGCTTTTTCATTTGACATTTTTGACAAAAGTTTCAAGAAATAGTCGAAAGTTTTTAGCTAAGTGACTTTTAGGCATACAGGGTGCATTAAAAAAGTGCAGAAGTGTGAAGTTATTTTTTTAAAAAATGGAATACCCTGTATATTGTGCGCTTATTTGTTAGTCCCTTTTAACCTGATTTCAACGTTATAGGGTTTGATATCCATCTTCAATAGTTATAGGGAAAAACATAAAAACCCCTTTCAAGGTTTCATATTGAAGAAAGAAAAATTATACCATTTAAGCTTTAGAGATTTTTTTTTTATAAACAGTTTATTGTTCAAATTTTATTCATTAATATACAAGGTGAAATATTATAATAACATGATAGACCTATTTAGGAAGGGATTTTCGCATTTTTCCCTATAACTATTGGAGTTATACGAGAGATAAATATATCAAACCGTATATCATTGAAATCAGGTTAAAGGGGACTAACAAATAGGCGCACAAAATACAGGGTGTTCCATTTAAAAAAATATAACTTCACAAAGTTGCACTTTTTTTGACGCACCCTGTATGCCTAAAGCTGACTTTGACAATTTTTTAAAACTTTTGTATTTGACACTTCTGTCAAAAACGTCAAATGAACAAGTTACCAGGGTGACATTTATGATAGATCACCCTGTACTTAGGTACCTACTTAATTTCAAATTAAATGATCAATGTAGGTAGGTATACCTATATATACTATAGCCTTTGATTTTTGATAAATTATTGAGGCAACAAATAATATAAATACATTTATATTTAAATGACATTAGAAAGATTAGAAAAATAAAGCTGTAAATATGCTGCCACATTAATTTAAAAAATATTTATATAATGCCATTAAAACACTCATCTTCAGTTAAAATGTCACGACCCTGGATGACTCTTTCAATTTATGGAAAACTATAGTGAATGTCATCGACCCCTATTAATTTGAAAAAATTAACAACTTCAAGAAAAATGAAAAATGAAGTACCTACCTATAAATTAAAAAATATTTGGTCATTGTTTTGAATCAACCAGTCACCAATTAGGTACATCTAAAATAAATATGCTAATCTACCACCTATGTAAATAATAACAAAAACCAGAATAATGATTTGCAAATTTTTTTCAACTAGAAACTAGTGATATAAGCAGGCCAGCTTACCTCGTTTACAAAACCGAAATCAATTGATTAGTCGACGGTGGTCGTAAATTTTCCCAAAACAAAAAAAAAAAAACAGCACAAATCTTCCCAAAGAAAAAAATCAACTATGTATTTTCATTCAATATTTTTATATCCGGCAACGTAATATCGATTTCTAGCCGAGTTCGCAAAACCTGTGTGTCCGCACCAGCGCAGCATTCACTACTAGAAGCGTGTGTATATAAATGGAACCATCCTATAAAACTACTATGATACCGGTCTAGACGCCCACGTTGCCACTTTAAAGCTCTGGGAATTCCTTAAAATTTGTTTCCTTTTCAAATAGATGATAAATGAACCTTTTGATAAAGGAGCCGGGTGCAAAAAAGGACTTTTGTTAGCACGCCCATAGCAGTTTTCAGAATTTTGCCCAAATTTCTTTCTACCTGGTTCTTTGTAGTAGATTAATCAATCAATCACACATAATCCAGTAAAACACAAAAAACAGAATTCGCAACATTATTAACACAAAAACTGGAGAAAGAAAGACCCCATGAAACAACACAGAGACATAAATAAAATTAATAAAAGACTAACGAAAACAATAAAAGAAACAGCAAAAAATATCATGAGACAAAGGGCTGGGCCAGAAAAATTTAGCAAAGAAACAATTAACAAATGCTGGAGAAGAAAACTCATAAAACAAGGAAAGATAGATACACCAGAATAATACAGAGGGACTAATAAATGTTCTATAAAAGAACAGCAGAAATAAGGCTTAAACGTTTTCAAAAGGGAGAACGCACACAAAAGAAATATTACAAAGCTGATAGATAAGGAACGCAAAAAGCAACAACGAAAATAACAAACAAGAAATCTAAAGCGAAACATCGCTGACATAGAAAAGGAAAGAAATTGCGCTAAGCCAGCTGAACAACGGAAAAGCCCCAGGAGTGGACGATATATTACCAGACATGCTGAAGGAGGCAGAAGAATACCTTGTAAAACAACTGATAACACTTTTCGATAAATGTCTAACTAAAGACTGCCATCGTCGTTCTGATATACAAAAAAAAAAGACCCATCAAATCTATAGAACCACAAGCCTTCTGTCTCAGATCAGACATATGAGACCAAGGGCGGTTTAAAGGGGGGGGGGGGGTAGAGGGGGTAATTACCCCCCCAGACAAAGATTTTTTAAATACATTTATTAATTATAACAAAATTTCAACCAAAGATAATTTCTATCAAGTAAAGGATTAAAGACATCATATGAATATGATAGGCTCACCAGTACCGACGTATCAAGGTTCCTAAAGTTCATAGGTTGTCTGGTAATGGGTAACTTGATGGCGCATCTGGGGTGCCTTATGCAGATTTGCATTATGTTGAGGCACCCCAGATGACGTCATAAAGTTATCAGGCAACCTACCTCTCTCAGACAACCTTGCGTACCTACTTTTATACAGTGCTATGGTTGTTTGAAATGTCTGGTTTTGTGTACAGTATTGCGAACACCCTGTAGAATGTTAACAGATTTTCATAGGACCATGAAGTAAATGTAAGTAAAGTCCGTCGTTTTTAAACTGACACTTTCCGTATGAGGAGCGAGGGGGTATTTCATATGGCAAAAACAGGTGTGACGTCAGGTAACCATTGGCGTTCTAATGGAGGGAGCCACCAGCTCAAATTCCGTTGGAATATTAGATTAAAATCGATAGACATTATACACTAACAACCTGCAAAAGTTTTAGCCTATAGGATCTCCAATGGATGAAATATGTTGGTTTTTGTTGACACATGCAAGCTGCGATTTTTTGAAAAAATATTAAATATTTTAAAAACGGTTGTGTTGTGGTATAGATGATTCCTAACAAAAAGTATGTAGGATTTTTAGAACGATAGAATGTACTAAAATATAGGTTGTTCCATTTAAAAATAAAAAAGTTCTGTCGCATACCCCATTTACAGAGCACTATGTATATTTAAAAATATTTTTAAGTGATGCACCTTACGGCCATTTGCATCGCTATAACTTAAGGGATATTTAATCCAAGTGAAGCTTTGAACGTGACTCTTGAAACAGAAGTCACATTACTCACATTCAAAGCTCCACTTGATTAAATATCCCTTAAGTGATAGTTAGGTGATAGCCGTGCAAATGGCCATTAGAAGATATCGTCCGATATCGCACTAAGTGGACACCCTGTATAACTGTTTTGAGGGCATCGGGATACATTTTTGTACGATGCGTGTTTTTTAAACGACTTTCGGGTGCAAATTTGGGCATGACAACCCAAAAAAAAATCCCGTCATCCATTATTACCCCCCCCCCCCCCCAGAAAATCATGTATGGACCGCCACTGTATGAGACATACAAACTCTTTATGAGAATAATCACCAACTGCCTAGTAAATAAAATCAAAAGAAATACATGTTCGTTCAATTATTAGTGTAAGTATAAGGGATTAATGTCAAGGTCCTTGTGGCTCTAATCCTAAAACTGGACTGTTGATGCATCAGCTTGTTTTGTCCTGTTGAAGTTAACTTCAATTTCAATGTGAGTTTTTTTTTTTGTTTCATGATTCTAGACTTGATAAGCTCTTTCGTATGTACAGCTTTGTTGGTATTTATCCAGATTAAAAAACTGTTTCTCACTCAATTATCTACAATGTCTTTCTTCAACCACTGTACAAATCCTTCTAAAGATGGATTTTTTTTGGTGTCTTGAAATTCTATACCTTATACATACTCAAATACGTACTATAATTTGTTTGCTAACCGGTTTGCTGTTATTTTGGTGAATAATTTAAGTCAAAACACAATTTTCAAATTTATTTACGCCACTTTTTTTGAAAAGCAAAATAACTAAGTTTTGCCAAGTGCTGGGGATTTTTTTCTTCATCTTCATTAGAACATTTTGTTGCATTGTTTCTCTTCCTATGTTTTAAATATCTCGTTCGATATTCTAACGTCACTTGGGATTTTTGGATTTTTACAATGTTTCTAGGGCATTTCGTAACTCGGAAATATTGTCAGGAATTAGCCAACGGCAGGAAAATAATTATCCGCCTATAGTTACAACTTCCCTATGGCTTGCCTAGTCTCAACAGTTCCAGTTGATCCCTCCTCTGCATGAATGGTGAAATTTTGGAAGTTGACGTAATAATAATGGGAGGACAACGGGATTACATCGTTTCTGGCTCGACCTCCGTGTCAACGACAGCGTAGTCCAGCAAAAAAGCGATTTTCCTAAGTAAAATCACTAACATTCCCTCTGTTAGGTGGCGTAACCTTTGATTAGGATTTCAGGAATAAACCAAGGTAAAAATTTCCATTATTTGCTTGTTTTTTTCCTGGAAACAAATATAGGTTAGGTTGAAAAGTAAGCATGTGTGATAACTCTCGGGGCCTATTAGGGCCTCCGGATCCTGGCATTAATTTTAAAAAAATTTAACAATTCCCCACATAATTCTGAAGCTGAACAAATTAAAAATAAGATTATACATAAATATGATAGTCACTCTTTAGGTCCATTCCAGGTGATAGTACAAGGTCCATCCGGGAAAAATATGGGTCAATTACACCCTATGGCAATAATTGCCTAATTTATATATGATTTAAAACTAGAAAATGTAAGTGGCCCCATGAAAAAACGGAAGAATAAAATTATTATTCAGTTTAAAACCCCAGAATCTGCCAATGATCTAATACAGAATAAAGAATTACCTACTTAGTAAGAACTATATTGTTTATATTCTAGAGTATCAAGTAACGTGTAAAGGTATAGTGAGGAGAATTTTGAAGGAAGCTGATACGGAAGATATTAATAAAAATTCCCCAGGCTCATCAGAAATATTGGGGGAAAGTTCCTTCCACGATCAGTCATCATCTTTGGACTGGAGACTCGAGTGGAAAACTACATAATGCCAGTAAATCAATGTTACAATTGTCTAAACTATGGTCACAAGAAAAGACAATGTCGTGGAAAAGAAAAATGTCAAACATGTGGTAAGTTGGCTCATGAAGGTCAATGTACCTATAATTGTAAGAATCAAGAGAACCATTCCTGTAATGGAAATGTAATTTCTTGTGTCAATTGCGATAGCTCAAATCATACATCAATAATAAATAAAAGTTGCCCCGAATACTTACGTCAGGCACAAATCAGGCAATATATTGTCGGGAATTAGCCAACGGCAGAAAAATAATTCTCCGCCTATGGTTATGACTTCCCTATGGCTTGCCTAGTCTCAACAGTTCCAGTTGAATCCTCCTCCGTATGAATGGTGGGATTTTGGAAGTTGACGTAGTACCAATGGGAGGACAACAGGATTACATCTAGGAGAGTGGGGATGTGTATGAGGGGCGAGTTTTCCGCTAGTATTATTGCAGACTAAGCTGGAAATGTGCTAAGTCAGCCCTGATTTTATGATTGTCTCATTCTACCTTGTGTTTTAGGGATTAAACATGTTATTTATTAATTTTGTACAAATGGTAACAAATCATGGTACGACACTGAAGATAGGATAGTGAGGGTAATTTTCCTGATGAAAATTTTGTATAAAAATGCATGTTGGCGTAAAGTGGGTAGCTCTTACTTAACTCTTCAAGTGCAGAAAGTTACTCTGCTAGTTTGCATTTTGAAATTAATAGCTCAGTAAAATTATTCAAACTAGTGATGGAAGCCTACAACTTCATCCCAGAAAAACTCTACTTTCCGCCAACCCCGTAAGTGGTATTTTATTTATTATTTCTTTCTCGAATTGTAAGATTTAGAAGTTACATATTTTTGCCTTATATTTAATCCCATTATTCTAGCAAGTAAGAACTTATTTGATTATCTTTATTATTTGAACTCAATATCCAATTATCTATCCAATTATCTATCAAATAATTATATTTTCGCTTCGCTCATCTTATAGAAATAAATTTGATTTAAACTGATTATCTAGTTTCTTTTGAATTAATGATTATCAGAAGTTTTGAAGAGAGAGAACAAAGAAGATCTTGGTAAGAAAATATAAAAGTATAGTTTCGCTTTAGGATCGGATTTCTAACAAAAGTCCGACCCGACAATTGGTGGAGGCGCACCTTGCTTTCTAATATTTTCAAAATTTATTTCTTGTATAATTTATTTTTTTATTGTTGTTATTTTGCACATCACATTCAAGTTATTTTGTAGATTACCTACCTAGGTACAACAATAATCGCAC